ATCAAATTACGCCCACACTGGGCGAAACACTCTGATATTATACTAGGCACCGGTTTTAAAAAAAGGTCAATTAGTGATGACGGAGTGAATTGACAAGACATATATCATTCGAAAGGTAACCTCATAAGATTTTAGCATGGCAAGTTTCAGCTTTTTTGCAATCAAATTGCGCCTGCCTGAGGCGAAACACTCTGATATTATACTAGGCACCGGTTTTGAAAAAAGGTGAATTAGTGATGACGGAGTGAATTGACAAGACAGATACCATTCGAAAGATAACCTCATAAGATTTTAGCACGGCAAGTTTCAGCTTTTTTGGAATCAAATTGCGCCCACACTGGGCGAAACACTCAGTACAGCCGTGAGGCGTTTGGACCGCCGCCGAGTCCCGAAGCGATCAGATTGACAGCATTGGCATTCCGTCGCAAGCCGTGGAAATGGGAATTATGGGGACAATCGGGACAGTGGATTGGATGGACACGTAGGAGAAGGCCGAGAAGAGTCGAGGACCGCTCGGGCCAGAGGATTCACCAGTGATATTAGATCCGATTGATATTCGTTTATACTATTGTAGTCGGGTTTGAGGTGATAAAGCGTGTATTGTTGATTGTCGGGAATTGTTGGTTGTGTTGAGGATTTTAGGAACACGTCGAGGGATTTATCCTGAGACTCTTCCGGCTGAACGGTGTCCGAGCCTGTGAGCGAGGAACCGGGTATTTCAGTAGTTGGCGACCACGGAGGCGTTGCCACATCAAAGTTCGTGGACCTCGCGTGAGAATTTCCCAAGGAACTCTAAGTAATTCCGAGGGAAAAAGGTCTGTGCCATAAGCGAAAGCGGCCGACCTAAAAGTCAATCACTTCCTAATAATAAGGTCGTTGATTTGACGCTGGGTTTTCACTCAAAATTCGTGAAAAATCCAGCTCCGCAGAGCCCTTCAAAATTCAGGTAACTCTGTCGGAACAGCGTTGAGTCCATCAAGATTCGGACAATAAAACGGCTGTAGATCTAAAAAAGGAATAGATCTAACGAGGTGAAGCTATTCTTCCCCGATTCTGGACGAATTTCCTTCAAATTTTGGGAAAATTCGCACCTTGACCTAGTACAATATAAAGTCTAGTGTCTAAGTGATTATTACCGAACTCTTCGACGATTTAGAGTTGAAGTCGGTCGTGTTGAAGGTGTACACCGGAGAAATCGGCGTAATTTTGAGGAATTTTTGGGTAAATTTGAGCTTTTACCTTATTTTAGGTATCAAATTAGTTGTGATTATAATTCTTTGAAGGAAGGGAATTTTGTTGTGCTTTTGGGTTTTTATTAAACAATATTGTGCTCGTGACGTGTTGTACCTTCTGTCTCGCGTGAAACTTTTGAATTTCTTCGAGAATTTTGATCCGATATTACCCTTGATTGTTCCAGGTTCCGAGCTTGATCGTTCCAAGTTCCAATAGACGTCTCCACCTGAGCCAGAGCAATAACCACCAGCCAGATTAGGTAAGTCTTTCACATTTGTTGTGCAACGTTTAGGGATGGCAAAAGGGGACCAAAATTTGAGTGAAGGCGCAGCAGGAATAGAGGCGCTTAGAGAGGAGCTGAAAACTAGCAATGAGGCAGCAAATCAGCGCCAAGAAGCGTTAGGAAAAACGTTGGCGGCGCTGATGGACAAAATTAGCGTATTTTCGGGCACCGCGGCTCCACCAAAAACGGAGAATTCTCCCTCAAGTTCTGAAGAGAGACCTAAAACTGATTTTGCTGAGCTGATGCTCTTGGAAATGAGGTTGCCAACCTTGACGGGCAGGGAAAAAGCAAGTGAAATCAACAGTTTCCTGTATAAATTTAAAGTAGGGGCGAGAAATCTTCCTTCATCAGAGAAGAGGGATCTTCTTGAGTCCAAACTGGCACATCAAGCATTGAGAATTTGGGAACATTGCAAAATGGCAGCGGGTGACAGGGAATTTGAAGAGATTTTTGATAATTTTGAAAGCGAAGTGAAGAGTCGCATCTCCGATACTAGAGACTGGTCGGCGATATTTTTGAAGCCTTTCTTTCGCAGACACGACTTGCACATGCGTGATTATGCGGATAGGATTATGGACCTTACAGTGCGCGCATTCGCAGGGGCACCCAAAGAGATTCTTGAGCGACAAATGATAGCGAAATTTTTGAGCGGCGTAAATCATAAGGAAGTTGGAATTGCATTAGCAGCCGAAAAGCATAAAAATTTGCCATTTGAGGAGATGGTTAAGATAGCGATTAATGTGTATGATTATAGCCAAGGAAACGTGTGCCGACCTCAACAGCAGCAAGCATTCGACAATGGGAACGACTTCATTGATCCTCCTGCAGCGCATCTAAGTGGGTTTTGGGACATTCCGACTCAGAATAATCGGCCGACTCCTCAATCAACGGGTGGAAACATCAGTCCAAATGCAAATCAACATCAGGATTTTCACCGCCCCGGCCTGCAATAAACTCGCGCAAGCCAGAGCCGGGTAAAAAGAGCAACAGTTTTATTGCGCGACCCCTATGTCAGTATTGCGATGGAGGAAAACATTTGATAAAGGATTGCGATAAACGAAAAGATTATTTGGGAGAGCTGAGAAAGAAGGCATTAGCAGCTCGGGTGAGTTATAAAGCGAATAGAGCACCTAGCAACATCATTTCATATGGTGCAGTGAAGCAAGAAGCGAAAGAAAATCCTGGGGATAAAGTTATCGGAAACTTCACGGTAAATAAAATTGAGAATCTGACAGAAACATCCGAACAGAAATCATCTGTCACGTGCTCAAATCTTGAGAAATTGGGTACAAGTAACGAGGAATTTGAATTCGGGGATCTTGCGACATTATTCGTTGAGCCAGTGGTTGCGAGCCTATCCTCAAAGGTCCACCCACAGACAGACTACACGTTGGAGTTGTCAAAATCTGCGTTTATGAGTTGGAAGCGCGAGAATAAGGGAAAAATTCCGAGTTTTGAGGAGATCTTGGAAGATTCCATATACGAAAAATGGTTTAATGCTAGTGACCTTGAGATCAACTGTTCGAAAATCAGTGTAGATATCGCGAAGGAAGATACTTTCGAAGGTTTTGAGAAGAGAAAGGAGCTTTCGACAGAATTTGTTCCAAGAGTCGATCAAAATATTCAAATTTCCGATAATTGCCTAAAGGATAATATGTTTCTGGAGTCATTTCCCCCTGCTAAAGGCTGCAAGTTTAAGTTCTTGGAGGAAAATCGCGGGTTCAATGATAATTTCGACAAAAAGAACTCGATAGAATGGTCATATTCATCGCGAATTGAAGGAAAAGGAACTAAATTTAAATATTCGGAGGTTCGTATCATTTGTGCGGCTAACTTGATCGTAAATTGCTGTTTTAGTGTAGAAATACCGTCTTTTATTGTAGTGTCTTGTATGATTTCGAAGGTGTTTCTATTTTTGATTCGTAAATTCTCTGTTTACTTATATTGTTCCGGTAAAACATCAGCTCGTACCTTATTTGCAAATGAATTTCGGGATCCCATAAAATATCCTGAAAACCCGGAACTTGTTTTTTGAAGTCGAGGACGGCTTCAGATGTGTAGGGGGGAGTTTGGGGTGTTTAGGATATTTTAGGGACTTTCATTAACTTTAACTCTTCTTTATTTTCAGATTTCGCCGTTTGTTTTCCTTCTTTCCAGCCAAACCACGCCGAACCCGCCTTGCCGTGCCGAACCGAACTCCGAAAGCCGAGAACCGACCCTTCCACATGTGCCGAAACCTTGGATTGAGTGCTGGTCAACGACGTGACGCCGAGGACGTCGTCAGACTATGGAGGGGGCGAGTACAGCCGTGAGGCGTTTGGACCGCCGCCGAGTCCCGAAGCGATCAGATTGACAGCATTGGCATTCCGTCGCAAGCCGTGGAAATGGGAATTATGGGGACAATCGGGACAGTGGATTGGATGGACACGTAGGAGAAGGCCGAGAAGAGTCGAGGACCGCTCGGGCCAGAGGATTCACCAGTGATATTAGATCCGATTGATATTCGTTTATACTATTGTAGTCGGGTTTGAGGTGATAAAGCGTGTATTGTTGATTGTCGGGAATTGTTGGTTGTGTTGAGGATTTTAGGAACACGTCGAGGGATTTATCCTGAGACTCTTCCGGCTGAACGGTGTCCGAGCCTGTGAGCGAGGAACCGGGTATTTCAGTAGTACTCTGATATTGTACTAGGCACCGGTTTTGAAAAAAGGTGAATTAGTGATGACGGAGTGAATTGACAAGACATATACCATTCGAAAGGTAACCTCATAAGATTTTAGCACGGCAAGATTCAGCTTGTTTGGAATCAAATTGCGCCCATACTGAGCGAAACACTCTGATATTATACTAGGCACCGGTTTTAAAAAAAGGTCAATTAGTGATGACGGAGTGAATTGACAAGACATATACCGTTCGAAAGGTAACCTCACAAGATTTTAGCACGGCAAGTTTCAGCTTTTTTGGAATCAAATTGCGTCTGCCCGAGGCGAAACACTCTGATATTATACTAGGCACCGGTTTTGAAAAAAGGTGAATTAGTGATGACGGAGTGAATTGACAAGACAGATACCATTCGAAAGATAACCTCATAAGATTTTAGCACGGCAAGTTTCAGCTTTTTTGGAATCAAATTGCGCCCACACTGGGCGAAACACTCTGATATTGTACTAGGCACCGGTTTTGAAAAAAGGTGAATTAGTGATGACGGAGTGAATTGACAAGACATATACCATTCGAAAGGTAACCTCATAAGATTTTAGCACGGCAAGATTCAGCTTGTTTGGAATCAAATTGCGCCCATACTGAGCGAAACACTCTGATATTATACTAGGCACCGGTTTTAAAAAAAGGTCAATTAGTGATGACGGAGTGAATTGACAAGACATATACCATTCGAAAGATAACCTCATAAGATTTTAGCACGGCAAGTTTCAGCTTTTTTGGAATCAAATTGCGCGCACACTGGGCGAAACACTCTGATATTATACTAGGCACCGGTTTTAAAAAAAGGTGAATTAGTGATGACGGAGTGAATTGACAAGACATATACCATTCGAAAGGTAACCTCATAAGATTTTAGCACGGCAAGATTCAGCTTTTTTCGAATCAAATTGCGCCCACACTGCGCGAAACACTCTGATATTATACTAGGCACCGGTTTTAACCCTTTCCGGACGAGTCGGCACCTCCATGCAGAAATGAAAGAGGGTACCCTACTGAGTAACGGCATAATAGTGGTTCAGCCCATCGAAGCGTTATTTGGGACTTATGACAAAAAATGTCCTAAAAAGTACCCCCAGTTGACATAACCCTTATAAAATTTTGCTAACGACCTGTAAATTAGAAACTACCCCTAAGTTAAAGTCTAACACTCCTACTACTGTTACATCCAAGAACTGTCCAAATCGGACCACTACGGGATTAGTTATCGACTTTTGGAAATTGAATTTTAAATTTCGACCAATTTTTGGCCCAAAATTGAGTATATCTTCCGCCGGAATCAACCATTTCAGTCTAAATGTGGTTTTTCTGAATCTAGAGTGATGCTAGCTTCTTCCCAGAATGTTTCCAGAAAAAACCTACAGGGCACGTTTCTGTAAAAAGCGAAAAGGTTGAAAGCGTAAAGGTTTCACCGTATAAAATGTCGCCGCAAGCCGAGAAGGGTCGGGCGCAGCTCGAAAGGCGAAAATAATATATATTTTTTTGAGAAATACTATTTTAGTGTGAAACTAAAGTAAAGTCCAATGAAATTGCCTGAAAACGCATTTAAAATATTAAAATGACATTGAGTTAATGTTTGCGTGCTCTGTCTGCCTGTATTTCATCTGAATTCAGCTTGTCGACACTAAAATAATATTTTTCGAAGAAAAATATTATTTTCGCCTTTCGAGCTGCGCCCGACCCTTTTCGGCTTGCGGCGACATTTTATACGGTGAAACCTTTACGTTTTCAACTTTTTTGCTTTTTACAGAAACGTGCTCTATAGGTTCTTTCTGGAAACATTCTGGGAAGAAGCTAGCGTCACTCTAGATTCAGAAAAACCACATTTAGACTGAAATGGTTGATTCCGGCGGAAGATATACTCAATTTTGGGCCAAAAATTGGTCGAAATTTAAAATTCAATTTCCAAAAGTCGATAACTAATCCCGTAGTGGTCCGATTTGGACAGTTCTTGGATGTAACAGTAGTAGGAGTGTTAGACTTTAACTTAGGGGTAGTTTCTAATTTACAGGTCGTTAGCAAAATTTTATAAGGGTTATGTCAACTGGGGTACTTTTTAGGACATTTTTTGTCATAAGTCCCAAATAACGCTTCGATGGGCTGAACCACTATTATGCCGTTACTCAGTAGGGTACCCTCTTTCATTTCTGCATGGAGGTGCCGACTCGTCCGGAAAGGGTTAAAAAAAGGTCAATTAGTGATGACGGAGTGAATTGACAAGACATATACCATTCGAAAGATAACCTCATAAGATTTTAGCACGGCAAGTTTCAGCTTTTTTGGAATCAAATTGCGCGCACACTGGGCGAAACACTCTGATATTATACTAGGCACCGGTTTTAAAAAAAGGTGAATTAGTGATGACGGAGTGAATTGACAAGACATATACCATTCGAAAGGTAACCTCATAAGATTTTAGCACGGCAAGATTCAGCTTTTTTGGAATCAAATTGCGCCCACACTGGGCGAAACACTCTGATATTGTACTAGGCACCGGTTTTGAAAAAAGGTGAATTAGTGATGACGGAGTGAATTGACAAGACAGATACCATTCGAAAGGTAACCTCACAAGATTTTAGCACGGCAAGATTCAGCTTTTTTGGAATCAAATTGCGCCTGCCCGAGGCGAAACACTCTGATATTATACTAGGCACCGGTTTTGAAAAAAGGTGAATTAGTGATGACGGAGTAAATTGACAAGACATATATCATTCGAAAGGTAACCTCATAAGATTTTAGCATGGCAAGTTTCAGCTTTTTTGCAATCAAATTGCGCCTGCCTGAGGCGAAACACTCTGATATTATACTAGGCACCGGTTTTGAAAAAAGGTGAATTAGTGATGACGGAGTGAATTGACAAGACATATACCGTTCGAAAGGTAACCTCACAAGATTTTAGCACGGCAAGTTTCAGCTTTTTTGGAATCAAATTGCGTCTGCCCGAGGCGAAACACTCTGATATTATACTAGGCACCGGTTTTGAAAAAAGGTGAATTAGTGATGACGGAGTGAATTGACAAGACATATACCATTCGAAAGGTAACCTCATAAGATTTTAGCACGGCAAGTTTCAGCTTTTTTGGAATCAAATTGCGCCCACACTGGGCGAAACACTCTGATATTGTACTAGGCACCGGTTTTGAAAAAAGGTGAATTAGTGATGACGGAGTGAATTGACAAGACATATACCATTCGAAAGGTAACCTCATAAGATTTTAGCACGGCAAGATTC